GCAGACTGGAGCAGTGCAGTGCTGGTGTTGGCCGGGTGGTGGGGTGGCAGATGCCAGAAGGCTTCATTAGACTCGAGGGAAGAGCTGTGAACAGCAGTTCTCGGGGAAGTCTATCAGACCTAAACACAAACACAGACATGCCTCTAATCCTGGTCTAGCCCTACATTCCCTCTCTCACTCTTTTCCTTTCTGTCTGTTGCTTTTTCTTGTTCTCAATCATACCCACCCGTCTTTGTCCCCACTCAAATTCTCCAATTCAATCAGCTCCAGCTCATTTGTACAGTTGCTTTTTTGTTCCTCCTTTTCTTTCTGATTTTTTTTCTCTCTTTTGTCTGTGTTTCTGGTGTTTTTGTTGTTGCCGTGTCTGTCAGTGAAGCGGAGCAGTCATTAATCACTGGTAAACGTACGCAGAGGAGCAAGCAGACACCTCAGGGGGGAGTTCTCTCATTCTGCTTGAAAAACGCTTTTCTCAACATGCTTCATGGAGAGAGATGTAGAAACTGGAGCACAGGTGCTGCAGCAAGTACAACAAACATAACCAGATGCACTGCAACACACACCAAATCGGATACAAATGTCTGTCTTTGTGCACTGTTTAACATGCTGGCTCTAAAGCTGCTACCAGGAAATTAATACCTACAACACATTACTGATACAAATGACTTGTCGATAAAAGTGCAGGATATCAAATAAAAGAATAAAAAAACTCTTTCTCTACATATCAATCAATAAAGGGCTCTAGACAAGTACCCATTTATTTGGCTTATTGCTCTCACTGCTGCTCTTTCTCTCTATGGTATTCCTGTCGATCTAATGTCCTGTGATTATTGAGGGATGCAGCTGCACTTTATCGGAATATCTGGCTCCTCTGTCTCAAGGACAGAGAAAAAATGTCTTCCAAAAGAAATATTATCCAATAAAACAACAGTTTAGCTGAAGTTGCAGGGATTTTCACATCCCTTATTCCAGCTCTCATAATAAATGACTTCTCACTCAAAATAATATCTCTGTTAGACAAACAATGAAGTATTACCCAGAGCGGAGGAGGTTTAAGGAGTCAGGTTTTGGAAGAGAGAGGCTGCAATGAAGATAAGACTGAGGAAAAGGACAAACTGATGCAAAAAGTGAACAATTAGAAGAGAAAAGGATGAAAAGAGGCTAATGTTGTGAGAAATGGTTTTTGTACCAATTGTAGATGTCTAGATACACATCAACCGTTCCCATGTGAGAGAAGAGCTAACTACACCAACTCTATCATTTCATGCTTGTTAGTCTTAAATGAATAATTGATGGTTTCGGCAATACACTAATTCACTTTCTTGTCAAGAGTTAGACAAAGGTTGATACCTTTTTATAAATCTGTCCATGAAATACGAAGCTAAATCCGTGAGATAACTAGCCTAGCTTAGTGTAAAGACTGTAAACAGATAGCTTGGCTCAGCCCAAAGGCAGCAAAATCTGCCCATTAAGACCTCTAAAGCTTGCTACTTATCATGTTATTGAACAAACAAGATATAATGTGCTAATTGGTGAGATTTGCAGGAGCTTGTAAGTGTATTCTGTAACTGTTTCCCCCCTGCTTTCAGTCTGTACGCTAAGCTAGGCTAGTTGACAAGGTAAGAAAGCGAACATGCATGTATCCCCAAATGCCAAATAAGTGTTACTAATGCTTACCCATGTTAACTTTGTAAATAGTCCGATACATTGTATAAAAGCAATGATACCATCACCCCACCTGCACCAGCAACTTTGACAGGCCAAAACCACATCTCTCTCTCGCTCTGTTATTTTCTCACAGATAAGAGTCAGGAAACAGTACGATGAAAAAGGCATTTTACTGGACAAACATTTATTCATACTGCGTATTGCTCCTTTGCTAAATTGTTGTTTCATCAGGGTTTTGTTCATTTTTCTGCTGACGGTTGTTCTAAAAGGGGGTTAAGGGAGTTGAGTGGTGGAGGGGGATGGTTACGTTGAGTCTTTATTTACCCGAGCAAAAGAAATCGATGCGTCTCAGCCGTAGGAGAAGTGTGTGGATCAATGGAAGGTTTCAAAAAGCCTCTGTGAGAAATCAATGTCCCTTACATGCTATTGATGGCTGTTTGGCTGCAGAAGTAAGAGAATGACAAAGAACACCTGTTTATTGTGAAAAATGACCCCCCCCCACTCTTTGTTTTAGTCTTTCTGGATCTTTTCCTGCCTTTGTTTGCTGTAAAACAGTCTTCTGTTTCCTTCCTTTTTTTTTTCTGAGACTTGCATTTTCATTTTCACTCTGTCAAAAGTTATGCACTACTCATTCCCATTTGTAGTGCTGAAATCAGTGTTGCTAACACCAGACATTCAGTACAACTCTGTTACACTACAAGTTAAAAAGGCCTCATATGAAGCCTGAGAGTTTCACCATGCACACTTCACGTTGATGTACAGTGAAAAAGTCAAGTGCTGAAGCATTTTATTTCCGCGCTGCTATTAATAAAAAGCAGTCAATAACATATCACTGAGCTTTGACACTGTCTTAGCTTTAAAGAGTGATGGGAGTACAGTTCTGCCAAGACTTTACCGGAGCAGTCAGCGTTTCCCTCGAGCAATGTCACGCTGCGAGTTCAGAGGCCAGTCAGTAGGGCCTCTGTCCTGACACCTGCCCGATCCTGTGCTGGCCTGATCAAAGTGACAGTGCTGCAGACCTGCGGAGATGCAGGTGAGGGCTGCTGTCACCCCGCCTGTCCAACTGATGGCAACTTGGTCAGGGCAGGGAGAAAAGCGGTGGGATGGCGGGGAAGGCTGCTGCCTGCATGTCACTCATTGCTGCGCTGGATGACAGAACAGCCCATTAGGAAAGGGACTGACTTCACAGGCCATTAGGGGAGGCATCACACAGCCACAGCACACAGAGCACTGAACAACGGCACAGTTGGAGAAAGGTAGGAGAAGACATGAGAGACAGAAACTCTGTAAGCTCTGTTTTGCAACATGCAAATCGCAGAATTAAAATTGCGATGAACATGTTAAATGTCAGAGATGAAAAACGTAATCTTCTGTCTTCATGTTGCTATTAAAATAAAAAATGTTCATCTTGGCTTGGATTTTTTGAGTAAAATTTGAACTGAGGGAACTGAAACAGATGCAGAACAAGCTTCAATCCCCATACAAGACCGAAGAGGTTATAGAAGTGGGCTATACACACAAGTATGGCAAAATCCCCCCCCCCCCCCAAGAGCTGTCTCCTTGTTAAAATCTTTAGTTCTTGGTATGGCCCTGCCTGCCCTCCAGTCATCATTAAAAGAGAAAGACGGGAACCTGAGAGCCCAACAGAGGCATCAACACGCATCACTTCTCCTCTGCTCTGAACGCTCCACTCAGCAATCCACCAGCCCCTGACGGACCTATTTACTGCACAAATAGGACTGTGTTTGGCTGCACACTATACTTCCAAATGTTCCTTTGATACCTTCTCTCCCCACCCCACCCTATCCCCTCTGTCTCTCTATGGTTCTGACCAGCTCATAAAAACAGCAAAACTGTCTGGCCAGTTTACGGCTGGGTGTAGCACTTCTGAAGGGCTCAGAGGGTTTAGAAGAGAATGCCACACTGTGCCAGGCTGATGGGACACACTCCAGCTGTAGACACACTCCAACTCCAAAACAAAGACTTACAAACTCTCCTCGCTTTGACTTGATGTTTTTGTTTCACTAAAAAAAAAAAAGGAGAATGAAAAAAGTTTCCTTCAAGCAGCTCCCCAGGCTTTTCCCTGGGGATTGGATGAAACCCTGTTGAAAAACAAAGAATAGAAACAAAAGAGGAAAAAAAAAATGCTTCTTTTGCACAATTTAAGACCCAAAAGAGATAAACTGTGAGAGTTTTGTAAACAGCGAGGAAAAGCTGATGGCTAGATATTCCAGATAAAGAGAGAAGGGAAGTGGTAGCAGGGAATGAAGCAGCGGTCTCCTGGAATGATGTTTTTTGATGAATTACAGTGCGAACCACAAGCTTAGAGTCTGGAGCTTTGCTATGAGAGACAAAGTGCACAGTCTGTTATGACAGAAACCCTGAATTTTAATCACTGTGCAGCTCTAGCCTTTGCACAACAGCACATTCACATAGACGTTTATTTATTCATGTTTTTTTTTGTTTTTTTTGCCTCCGACCTCTAACCTTCACCATGTTGTGTTTATATTCTGTACTTATCAAAATTAGCAGTTTTGCAGAAATGAAATTTGCCATGATGAGAGTCAGTTGCTGTTGCCACCTTCCGATCTAAATGATGCTAAATACTACATGAGAACAGATTTATTGAATGATGATTAGGCAACAACAGATGAGGTGTTACTACTTGTAAATTCCTAGTTCACACATGCAGTAGGAGGCTATAGTCAGGTCATTTGTCATGTTGTGACCTCTGAGTTTTCAACCAACATTTCTTTACTGGGCCACAAGGGAATGAACCACTGTCCTGCTCTTTTGAGCCTGAGACCTGTAGTTTTTCATACTTTCTCCTTATATTTCACAAGAGGCCCAGAGTTATAGCTTCAGTAAAGATTCTGTGACAAATTGTATTGTTATAAAGCGGCTATAAAAATAGAATTGAACTTCGGGCAACCTTTCTGAAATGGCCTGATAAAGGAAGGAAAGGATGCATAAAAGAGCAGAAATAATCATTTGCTTCACTGTGAACCCAACAGACCTCACACTGAGGGAGAGTTTAGCTGCTTAGCTGCTTAGCTGTTTTGAAGCCTGGTCTCCGTCTGAAGGGAAAACTTCTCAGGTCCAATCAGGGCTGTTTAAATACCTTAAGATTTTGTGGCTATAATTACATGAGGATAACACAACATAATCATCTGCAAGGATGTGGAGAACAAACCAGTTATGCTAATTTATTTCTGTTCTTTATCACCGTCCATCACATATCCCCCAATCAGTGTTAGCCATGAAGAGCCCTCAAGAAAACCCAGCTGTAAATTTAGAACAAATCAGTGATGCAGCCCATCAAATCTTTCACTTACGCTGACGAGCATCTGAGGGAACGGTCCTCGAGAATTCTCTGCCACGTTGATTGGTGGGATCACCCAGTCCCTCTTCTGCCTCCGTAGACCCTTGGAGCTGTTCAGGCCAGACCCTGAGAACATGATGAGAGGAGGTGGTGCTTGGAACACGTCCGTCTTCTCTTTTCTCTCGACGACTTTCCCCTCCTCCGTTGTGACCTTTAAGACAACAAAAGGTTCAATTTAGGAGGCTAAATTTGCTGTAACAGTAGTGATATGACGGAAGTAGAAATTCACAGGATGGAAAGAATAACATTTATTTAATTCATTTATTGAATGAGTGTTATGGCTCTTTCAGATACTGAGTGGTTAGCACTATGTAAGTCACCTGGCAATGTCAAGTGGTCTGTATTTTTAATGGCAGGCAGCAGAGCACAGCTCCACTGCTATGGCTGCTGGCTACGTATGATCCTACTAACAACCTGAACCATAAAAGTCCGCATTCTCTAATCTCATCATGCAGCCAAATGCAGAGGGCCATAGCTTGAAATAAGGAAACTGTTAGGAGGTTTATGTAATATAATACAACACTGGATAATCATACTTTTAAACTAAAACCATGTTTGATATGTTTGCTTATTGCTGGTGAAGAGGTGCATAATTTAGGGATCTCAGAGACCAGTAAAATTGGCTGCTGCATTATTTTCCATGGTGTGGTTTCCATGGTTGCAATGGCCAATGTAAAAACCTCTATCATCATCAGCTCAGGTGGCAGCGGCAAATACAAATACTGGTGGCACCGTCCCCTTGCTGTCTGAAAGTATCACTCTGAATATAAGGAGATGTGTTCTAACAATAACTGTAGTGAGGAGTGAGAGTCCGGCAGCTGTCCGGCTCCTCCGTCTCTTCCTCTTGTCACTGTGGTACATGCATGTGCAATACACATGCATGTATTTGTTTCTGAAACCTACAGTATTTCAGTCATCGCTATAATTGAAGAGAATGCATGATGTTACTATGGAAACAAAGAGCACAATGCACATCCTGTATTTTGAATGTGAAAGAACTAATGGACCCACTCAAACACAAATTCACTCTGTTATTTCTTCACTCACACGATTACTCACTTGCTGACTGACTGACTCACTTGTTCTTACAGTTTGTCTTTCTGCACCTAATTGGTGATTAGAAAGCTTGGCAACCAGAACAAGGACGACACATGTCCTCGCTCTAATACTGCTCAAACCTGTGAACTTCTACATATTCTATAGAGTACTTTACAACAATTATCAAAACAAAATGATAAACGTACATAAAGTGTGAACATATTTTAAATAAAGTTTCAGAAGAACCACGTTGAGCCTTTGTGATGCTGTTAGAAAAACCCACCCTAGTATGTGCAATGACACTGAACAAGAGAATAGGAGGTTTTCAAAAGCTACATAAATGTATGATAATTGGCCAAGACCTGAATAAAATTATATACTCAATGCTTTAATAATTTTACCATATAAGTTGGAGCTACATTGTAATAAAGAAATTAATTAAAGTGAGTAAATATAGACTAAATACAAATTACAAGTTTCCATCAAAAAACTCCTCTGTTATATTAATCTATAAAATTCTAACTCTAGTTAACTGTAATATTTCCAAAACCATTTGAAATTAGATTAAGCTTTTTGCGTGTGCACGCACGCACATTTGTGTGTGTATGTGTGTGTGTGTTTTAGTAAGTACAAATCATTCTGTGACTCAGACTGGGTTGATAAAACTCTTGAAACAAAACAGCAGAAATGAAGAAATGCTTTATAGCAGAAGTAGAACACTCCCTCAGTTCTTAAAAGCAGACAATCTACTGTCAGTGTGTCTGCAGTGTGACATATAAGCAACAAATACAATGTGCTAAATGATGTTCTTGTCTCGTTCATTTGTGCCATCATGCATCTGACCTGAGCAGGGCAGAGCTGTAAAGTGTGACCACATCGGTGTACAGTCTGTGAATTCTTTGTATGTATGTATGTATGTATGTGTGCATATATATGAAAGAGACCATAAACCTCAGACTGTGTCATTTACACCGGGTATAAAAATCCTATTAAGAGAGAGCATGTCTGAGGTTCGATTTACAGCCTCTTTCAGTAGACAGTGACAGCTGAATCACAGACACGCACTTCAATCATACAGTATTCTCCCATCACACACTCCTCTCACACACTCCCTGCAGGCAGAGAGAAATGACCACCACAAACCTGTCTTTTTGAAAGATGTTCGAATAAGGCATTTGAAAGGAGCCCATTGTCAATCTCCTCATGAACGTTAACTCATCCATGAGTCACGAGCACTATATCAAATGCTGAAACTATCAAGCATTTGCAGCACCTGACAAACGTAATGTACTCACATGAAAATACTGAAAAACTCATGAAGGTGAACTATGGAGAATCTGCTTCATTACAGATGCTTCCAGGGTGGGTAGAAACAAACAAAAGAGAGAGATTTAATTGCATACCCCAGGGCTAGTTAAGGTAGCCGAGTGCAGATAATCACATATGTGGCTTCCTACATTTTCAGTACATCACACATATTTATACTTCCCTGTCAAGGTTACATCGGGTCCACCATGTCAAGGCTTTCTTCTTAACTACCATGTTTAATGTCCCATGGGGTACAGTAGATATGCTGTATATAGTGATCTAAAGGTTATATTAAATTGACATTTTGGAGAGTTGTTCTACAGTAAGTTTACTGACATAAATCAGGGTTACAAACCATTAAAAACATGTCAGCCATTCAGTCACGAGCATCATTGCTGAAGCTATGCATCCGTTGCAATCTCTGTCTCAATCAAGCTATCCCTTGCCCGTGCTCTCCCCTGCCCTCCTCTTCCAGTGTTATTGTTTTTCTCTGTCTCTCCTCCTCGTCAGTGGATCCTGACAGCTTGTCTCAATAACAGTGATTCCTCATGCACTGGGCTGTGTTAGGCTGATGGTGCACCAGCAGGTAAAACAGCAGCACAGAAGTTCACCTACCAAACACTCCCAAGGCCCCCAGCACCTTCCCAGTTCATGTCTTTGTCATGTCTGCCTCAGGGGCAGGAATGTGGAAAATATTTTCATCTATTCATTCAACCTTTATTTATACAGGATTTAGATATAGATAAACATTGAAATGTATGAAATGCAAATAAAATCAGGCATGGGTTAATCAAACCAGTCATCAAACCATCAATAAAATTTCAACACAGCAATATTGAATTAAGGCCCTGTCAATCTTACACATCTACACATCATACTGATCTAAGTGTTACAGGTACAGGAATAGTCAGTGTAGCCCCAATTGAAATTTAAAAATCTGCCAAAGAAAGCAGATGATCAAACAACAATCCTTGCTACAGTTCATTCCCTCAGAGTGCAGCAAAAACATTTAAAGGCCTTTTTACACGGCACTGTTGTGAGCTTCAGAACTGCCAGAATGAGACTCTCCTGAGATCTAGTAAAGTAGTGAGTTTTCCCAATCTAAGCAGAAGAGATACAAACTAAGTTGTTTTCCTAGAGAGCTTTATAAAAACAGTATATAATTAACATATATAACATATAATATTCTGTATATTTACTAATATGGCAGAAGATTTACTGCTGTTAATACATACTTGAATCAATAACAGTGGAAACAGTCACCTACAGCGGTTGGGTACGTGTAGGTTGTGGAATGTAACAAAGTACATTCACTCAAGTGCTGTGCTGAAGTACAATTTTGAGGGGCTTTTATGTACCTGAGTATTTCAATTGTATTCTTTCAGAAGGAAATATTGTTCTCTGTCACTTTTATTCCAGCACATTTATTTGTGAAGTATAGTTACTAGTGCAGATCTCATATACTAAATATTTTTTTCAGGTTATAAAATATGTTGCACTGCACAGACTGAAGGGCCCAGCAGAATGAAGCAGTTAAAATAGCTCCACCTACACAAGCTACAAAATTAAAATAGTGCTTACACAGTAATGCCTCATTAATTTTAAATGCACCTGCATTTAAACTTTTACTTGCAATCGAGTAATATAGATTGTGGTATTGCTACTATTACTTCAGTAAAAGCTCTTAATACTTCTTCCATCACTGCAGGTAAAATGTGTGTAACAGGTAAAAAGGGTGGATATAAATTAATTAGATGATGAACCATGAGAGAAAAAAAAAGAACATAAAAAAAAACAAAAAACAAACAGGGACAATAAAAAAGAAAATGTGTCTGCTGTTCATGTATTTTTATTTTTATCTTTACCAGTAAAAATTTAGCAATTAAGCAAAATGATGATTACTTCTTTGCTTGTTGGCCAAGGGAGTGTGTAGCTTGTGTATTTGATTATGTGACTGGTTGTGGGTCTTAAATCAATGGGTGGACCCAGAATTGATTTATAGTTGCATGTGACTACGAGTAAGGGGTTGGCCCTGGTATGAAAAACTACATGTTTCTGCAGTTTTTAATCAAATGCTGAATGAGGGTAGCACTCAAACTGAAGAATATAGTAGGCCCTGATTTAAGTGTGCACTTTAGAAGAGAATGAGCGACAATGCAAGATAGAGTGTGACGGAAAAAAAAAAACATACAACAATTGAAATTGGAAACCACTCACCAGAGATGATACAGAAAAAATGTTTACTTTCATTACAGTAGAGAAAACAGTGCAAGCAGAGAGTGGAGAATATATGTGCATGCTCTATGTCTGTATGTGTATGCGTATGTGTTTGTGTGTGTGTGTCTGTGTGTGAGTGTGTGTGTGTGTGTGTGTGTGTGTGTGTGTGTGTATGTGAGTGTGAGCAGGTGGGTGGGTGGTGATGTCAGAGTACAAGAAAAATCTGGGCTTGTGAATTCGGAAGCATAAGAAAAAGAGGTTCAATCACCATACATTTACATATAAAGAGGCTAGTGTTTTTAATACTTCTTTCAATTTTTCATTTTACATTACTTCTGTGCGATATGTAGCCTTACTGTTCCTCCCAAACAGTTGACATTTGAGAATATAAATAAAATACAACACAGGGCCAGGCTACAGTGTTGGAAGATTGCAATGGCTTCTGGCACATATTGAAAGTTGAGGGTTCTGTACAATGCGGTCTATAAAAAGTGTTTTCTCTTTGTATCTCTCTGTTTGTTCTTGCCTGGTCAAGGTCCCTCAGAGGGTTGGCTTGTATCTGCCAGCGGAAGCAATGCTTTCAAAGCT